CAAATTTGGTTGTAGTTTTCTTCTCATCAGTTCGGTGATCAAGTTCTTCTTCAAGCAGGTGTAGGAGAAGACTGATCTTGTCTTCCGTGAAACACTGTTCAGAGTCAAGGCAAAACGTAATCGTTTCAACCACTGGAAAGAAGTTACATTTAATGATATAGCTAGACGATTCAAGGCAAAAATCATTAGGCAGTAAGAACTATTAAGAGCAATGCTTCATTACAGAAGACTTCCTTGTAGAAGGCGGCTAAGCTCAGACACAGCAACTTTCTGAACTGACCAGAGCAGCTGAGGAATGAGGGCAGTGCCCGGACTTACCTACCTGATGACGGTCTTTGTAACGGTCATCACATGACTAGGATTATATAATGTGAAGTGTTTGTGGCTCACCAAGGGAAATAGAAAACTTGCTAATAATTAGCAAATAAGATGAAATGGCACCTTTAGGTGGGATCATGCAAATAAGATGTATAGAATACAAATGTGGGAAGTGGTCAGTTAGGCCATACGACAAGGCTTAAATTAAACTGGTCTAGAATTAGAAAAAAGGGATCTCATTACCATCAAGAAGAAAGAACCAGGGAGTCCAGTGTGTCCTTTGGGCCTGAGATTCTGTGAAAAGCAGAGAGCTGTCATATCAGAGAGAAAGTGCATGACTGCAAGACAGTGGTAGAAGATGGAAGAAACAAGACAGTGGCAGCAGAGGTGTCAGAGAACAGTGTGACAGAGCGATGGGCTGCAGGTCCACTAAAAAGCAAGCTGCGTGCTTGGCGCTTGCTGGTAGAATGGGCATGTGTGTGAGGGCACTGGCTGGAGGAGCTACGTAAGCCCACCCAGAGAGCTACAGCCCAGTACCTCTGAGTGCCTGCCTGAAGCAGAGTGAAGGGAGGACATACTGGAAGAAAAGTTTTAACATTTGACAGGCTCTGACGTCAAGGTTCAGTAAAAGGCCTGACTGTGTGCATGCCTAGAAGAAGTTGTACTGACTGGAACTGTATTCTCAAAGTTCCTGAAGCTGAACTATATAGTCTGTTACTTCCCTAACAAACCCCATATTTCTTAGTATTTTCTGTGAGTTCTCTGTGGCAACTGCAATGAACTGTCAAACCCTGAAGAGAAACAGCAAGTGCCATGGGAGGTGTGGAACTGGTAGAAGCAGCTTTGGAGGATGGGGTGGGGATGGGGAAGGTGTATTTGACCACACAGGAACTGTCTGTGTGCTGCTGATGTGTTAATGAGGTTCCTTCCTTCCCTTGTGAAGCTGCTGGAAATCAAGCTCAGGCCATCTTCACGCTTGTGGTATCTTTTCTACAGGAGGCACATTTCCTGGAAGAGAAAATCTTTTCTTTGCACCAAATTGTTTTCGATTTACCAATTGCAGATTTTCTCTGAGGTCTGTAAACTTCACATCCTAGTGCTGAAAACAGATTACTGCTTATGTTTTGGTCTGACAGTGAATTTACTTTTGACAGAATAACAGTGGTTTCACAATCTTTACTTCTGTTCTGAGAATAAAGAGGCAATAACAGGGTGGAAAAAATTGCCTTGGTGAGGGGCAAAGTGACATCTGTAATAAACATCAGGAGTTGAGTTTGGTGTTAAAGCCACAATAGCTTTTCAACTTGAAGCAGCAAATAATTAGCTACTATGTCCTGCAATAAATCTTGTCATCACAGGGTGAAGAGATGGGACAATAAATGTTTAATTTCAAAGTAGAGATAGGCAAAGCATTTCAAAACTTCTATCCACCAGAGAGAAGGGAGTCTCCTCTAGCACTTTTTCTGGAAAATGGTATATATAAAATCCCATCTCAGTATCTTTGATAAAACTGTCTAAGTAACAAAACAAGAGAAATTTTTATTTATGCCATTTAAAAACCTCTATCTAACCAATTAAGTTTGAAAAAAAATGAGATCCTTTAACTACTGGAAGCTCTGGTGGCCTAGTGTTAAGAAGCCACGCTGCAATCTGAAGGCATAGGGTTCAAATTCACTAGCTGCTCCTTGGGTGAAAGATGGGCAATCTTCTCTGTGAGATTAACTGCCTCTGAAAACCCACCATAGGGTCAGCAGTGGGTTGGTTCTGACTTGACAGTCCACTACCACTACAGGAAAGGATGCCTACTCTCAAGACAAGTAACGACACTCTTGCCCTACACATCTTTGCCTCCTTCTTTCAATAATGTTTATGCTACTCTATAATGGTATAACTCTCTTCAATAGAAGCCTCTTTCTACCTTATCACTACCTTTTCCAGTTAATAACCATAAGTAAGTTCTTAGTTTTAGAAATCACCAACAGACTGAACCTCTCAAATCTGTCATCAGCTACCCAATTCTTGAGGTTCTTGATCACAAATCAAATGCTGGGCCTCCTGGTTGTCCACTTTGACAGGCCTAGTCGTAATAATTTGCTTCCTACTACTTTTTAGACTCTGCTTGTTTATTGTATTAATGAAGTTTGTGTCTTCAAGGCTCCACGTGCTCCACATTGAGCAGATGACTCTACAAAGATGCCATCTTACTCACCTTGCCTCCTAACCCTGTGCCTCTCAGTGACCTCGAGCCCCTGGAGGCAGAACAACACCCAGCTCCAGAATGAAACAGCTACATTGATCATCGTCCCAAAACGTTAGAAGCTATTTGGAGTTTAATCTCCCCAGGGGTTAGAATCAAGGAGAAAGAGGAATCAGAAGTTCCCACATGCTAAAAAACTAACCATCAGACCCAAGAAGCAGACACTGACATGCGTGGAAAAGGCTGCCCAGCCCTGGAAGCAACATTAACCAGTGTCTCAGGCACACAAGTGACGTCAGAGAACAGCAAACTGGCCTAAGAACCACCCACTACATTTTGAACTCTCCATGACGACCTCTCATTGGCCCAGCCTCCAGCCATACTGAGACACACTAAGGGCTTCATATATAACCTTACCTCAGAGGCACACTGCCCTCCTCCATTACTTCCTTTCCAGGGAGGATGGGTCCATCCCTTTAGGGAAGTACCTATCCTAATACATTTATCTTTCCAAAAGAAAAAAAAAATCCACCCAAACACCACACACACAAATCCTATCTAAAATGGAACTTAATTATTTAAATCCTCAAAAGTCTCTATTTTAGTGAGGATTTTAAAAAGGTCTGGTGAGAGACAGTTAAGTAAACTGTGTCTACTTCCAGTAAAAGAAACCCTTCATGTACAAATTCTGCTGACAGTGGGGCAGTCCTGCAGCCTAGCCTAGCCAAGGAAAACTCACCATAGATTTCAAGTCCTCTGGCCTCAGGGAAGGAAGCTGGAGGTCCAAGTGACAAAGGCTTTGGAAACGACCTAGAACTTCACTAAGAACAACAGTAGGTTCATCCAATGGCAACATCCCAAATCGATCTGTGGAAAATGAAACAGGAAGATTTTAAAAGGACAAATGATGAGACAGAAAAAGAATTTCTAGGACAATTGGGGAAACAAACATGAAGACAAAGTTGATGATTTGAAGAAACTGGTTTTAACGGGACAATGACATTATGCGCGAGATAAGACAGGCAATCTCCCTCCTGCAATTTACAGCCTCTGAAAACCTGAGGGTCAGCTATGAATCAGATCAGACTCCACAGTACACAACAACATGACATTACAGGCAGGATCTAACTTATGATACATTCAAGTAACGAGATACATTGAAAACTGCCTGGGTTGGGGTTCCCCCCCCCTTTTCATTTCGTTTATTTGTGTTTAACTAGAGAAATGTTGAGCTGTACAGTTTACTTGTGATCTTTACAATCTCCGAAGACAAGTAATGATAAAAAAGGCAATATTAATGAAAATGTTTAGGGGAGGGAGAGACATTATGACTCAATATATGAATCAAGTTTTGATGTAATAAGTTGGGAACTATCTGTATATTATATGATAATGCTTAAAAAGTAGAATCCTTATTATTTATAGATGTATCATGAACTAGTTATACACCAAATTATGTAATGTCTGGGACTGAACGTCAAAGAAATAGGGAGAGGAGAGTAGGAATACAGGGAAGAGGAGACTGACTCTAAGATGACTGTTTAAGTTGGGTGATGGCTGTGCTATCCTCTGTACTTAAAATTGTTACATTAAGAAAAAGAAAAGTAAAACATAGTGACTGTGGAGACTTGAATAAGGGATATGGTTTAAAACCCAACAGTTTATATATAACTTAACAAGTTACAGATAATTTATGATCTAACAATAAGAAAGATACAAAGACACAGAATATATAAAGGAATCTACTTGAATGGTCTGAAAAGTAATTGACCACATGCTACAGCTATGTCCCAAACACCAGATTCACCTACTGGGTATTTAGAATACTGGTTGTACTACTTCCTCAGGAGAGCCAGCAGGGCTAGTAAGATGCCTGAATGGAGAATGGAAATAAATTCTGGAAGTGAAAGATTTCACAAGACACACAGGACACACATGCCACAAGGAACTGGTGACCATCTGATACACAAGATGGGAGTCCCTCCCTTAAGTAGCCTTATCTCAGCTTCAAATTAACATTTAGCTGCGAAACAGACACTACAAGCCAGGCCTTCAAGTTCTGATGATGAAAGAGTATATTCTTCAGTTACTCTCAATCAAATCTGAGAGGTACAGAAGCAAGGGCATTTCAGTGTTATAAACAGAGTTTCCCCAAAATTTGCTGTCATTTCCAAGCTTGATGACTATGGGTATTATTACATTTGGGAGTGGGCTGCCTTTGAGATATAAAAGGATTAAACAGACAAGCAACCACAGAGCGATAAAGAAGAGATACCAAGTCAAGACTGGCCAGGAGCCCAGGTTTTAACAGACATTTCTCCAGAGCTGACAGAAAGCAGCTTTTTCCCTGGAGCCAATGCCCTAAATTCAGCTCCTAAATGCCAAAGAAATAAATTTACTTGATAAAGCTACCCACTGTGATACTTCTGTTTAGCAGCACTGGATAACTAGATACAAGTCCCAAGTCCCTGAACAGCAGGAAAGAGGATATGCGTTCACAAGACAATGCAGCACAGAAGTTCAGCTCTGCCCTCGCCCTTACTCTGCGGAGGAGCCTGTGTCTGTTATGATCCTCCCTGTGAGCAACTTGGGGGAAAATCTGGATTCCCCCTCCCCCCTCAATCACAAGTAACAACACTTTTCCTAGCAGCAACTGACTTAGGAAGGGCACTTGATCCAATCCTAACGAGACGAGAGTCCAGCTACTTTGGGGAGGAGGTGGGAGTGTATGTTCTCTGAGTATGAGGAAGAGGCTCTGTCCTGCCAGCAATTGGAGGGCACTGTTATCTCCATGTCACTCTTGAACTACAGCCATGCAACCTTGGCGAAAAGCTAGTCAGAGAAAAAGTGACAATGTGTCTTAAAAGAATTGGGTCCTGGGTGACATCACCAAGTTATTTCATTACTTTTTTCTTTCTGCCTTAGTTTTTTCATCTCTTAGCCCTTCTTCCACCTTTTACCCTTTACCCTAAAAGCTTCCTGACAGTAAACCAAGGCTGACCGATTAGGACAGGAAGTCTCAGGAATGATTTCTCAGAAGTCGGCAGGGTTAAGACACGTTGGAAAGACCAACTCCAGTGTACAAAGGCAATGGGCCAAAGGAGGCATTTGGAGAATTCCCAACTGTCTCCAGGCTGGACGACATGTGCCTGTGGGAGAGTCAAGAGCTAAGGCAAAGTGTAGACAGAGGCTAGACCATGATTTTATTAATGTAATGAAAAACGACCAAAAGAGTTAAAAAAAGAGGAAGTTAGTATAAGTAATATGCAGTAGTTTAAATCCAGAGGCAAGAAAACAAACTTTAAACATGTTAAAGTACTAACTTCTACAGGAAATGGACGCCAGAGGCATAAAGATGGAGAAGAGCAATGTGTAATTCTTAGTGTTCTTGCTTGTTTCAACATTTTTAGAAAGTTTCAATACAAGTAAATCTGCAGTATATGTATTGATAATGGATACAGACATATGCTGTTGTCAGGTGTCGACAAGTTGAGTACAACTCACAGTGACCCTATGAACAGAGACCCGAACACCATCCTGTGTCACCCTCATCATCTCGGACACACTTGAGCCCATTGCAGCAGTCAATCCATCTCCCTGAAGGTATTCCTCTCTTTCGCTGACCCTCCCCTAAGCATGAAGAGCCTCCAATGAAGAGCCTCTCCTAGCAACATGACCAAAGTATGCGAGATGAAATTGTATCATCTATATGGTCATCACTAGTCCTTTTTTTCTTTTTTTATACCAAGGACTTTATTATATGCAGCTACCAGTGTATATAAAATAATTAATTACTACCCTTGTGAAATAGAAACTCATGAAAATTCAGAGGTAGATGTTAAGAACTGACAAAAGTAGAAATCTGTATAGTATGGCACATGTGTTGTAGGGATAAGCTTTTGTACAAGCTTCATATTTTAGCTCGCCTTTGAATATTCACTGGTTCTTAAGAGTGGTTTAGGAAACCTTTGAAAGATTCATTTTACAAAAATATGGAATGTTTCACGAATTTGTGTGTCATCCTTGCGCAGACTAGTCCTATGGAATATATTTCTTATAATAAAAAAATGTTTTTAATTTCAGTTTATTCTGTTATCCTCTTTCATCATCAAATAAAAAAAAAAAAGCAACTACTACCTGTCACACAGTCTCGGTAATTTTTTCACATATTGATAAGCCTATCGGCCATTGCTGTTGACAGATGGAACTTTCATTATATACTTACTTGTTCCACTTGAATTTAAGTTAAATATCGCACAGAACACGCATTCTTCTTTTTAACCAAGTTTAATCCATTTCCATGTATTAATATTATACAAAGGTTGGTAGGTTTTCCCCCTATATCTTTAAGACTGTGCATTACTTATCTTTGGGTTTTTTTTTAAACTTTCAAAAACTTTTTTCCTTTTTTTCTGTTGTTATAATTTTAACAAGAGCTTATAGAAAGGCTGGGTTTTCATTTATTGTTGCATATTGTCCCTTTTTATTCTCTACTTCAGCTCTTCACACATTCAGTTATAACTGCTTTGTCTTGTAGTCATTTCTTTCTTTAGTTCAATTTTCACTCTTTTATGATATCCATTTTGGCCTTTTCTTCCTCCTCTGTCTTTGTAACAAGAACCTATTGCTCTCTTCACGACTGAAATCTCTGATGTCATCCTATAACTCATCTGGTCTTCAATAGTGTTCAGGGTCTCAAATCTATTCTAGAGAAGATTTTTAAATTCAGGTGGGATAGGCTGAAGGTTGTATTTTGGTTCTCATGAACTTGTTTTCATTTTCTTCAGCTTCAACTTTAACTTGTACATGAGTAATTAATGGTCTATCCACAGTTTGTTCCTGGTCTTGTCTTGACTGGTGATATTGAACTTCTCCAATGATTCTTTCCACAGATGTGGTCAATCTGATTCTTGTGCAGTCCATCACGTGAGATACATATGTAAAGCTGCCTTTAGGTTTTTTAAAAAAGGTATATGTGACGAATAAATCATTGAGCGTATGTTGTTGTTATGTGCCGTCAACTCGCTTGCGACTCATAGCGACCCTATGTACAACAGCCTTAAACTCTGCTCTGTCCTGTGCCAATCATAGTCTCCGACACACCCATCCCGATTACCCAGTCACTGAATCAATCCACCTCATAGAGGGCCTTCCCCTCCTGCGCTGTCTCTCCACCCTACCTAAGCATGATGTCCCTCTCCAAGGACTGGTCTCTCCTTACAGCAAGTCCAAAGAATGTTAGGCGGAGTCTCAGAATCCTTGCCTCCAAGCAACAGCCTGGTTTAACCTTTTCCAGGATGAATCTGTTTGTTTTCCTAGCAGTCCATGGTACCCTCAATACCTACTGAGCGTAGACAATTCAATAATTCAATGACCAGCCTCATTTCTGTCACCAAGACAATACTTTCTGACCACCATTCCTTCCTCATTGTTTCTGCATTCCAGTCACCAGTAATTACTAATGCATCTTGATTGCATGTTTGGTCCATTTTGAACTGTAAAAGTTAGTACAAATCCTCAATGCTCTCTTTGACTTTGTTGGTGTGTATGTTTGATCAATACACAGAAAAATAGAAAGTAAGCAAGCAACTGATTGCCGTCAAAGTCAAGACACTAGTTACATCGATGAACTGCAGCAACAATGAAATGGCAACAGTGCTACAAAAGCTGCATGAATGACTGTATGAAAAACCTTCACTTTTACAAACCCTCACTCAAATAAAAAGAAATTATTTTTTTAAAAAAAGAGTATCTTCTCAGGATAGCAAGAGAGAGGAATGACATCTGGGACACATGGCCCTATCTTTAACACTTCTTGATTAAAAGGATACAAGTGGGTGGGTTTTTGTGGGGATTTTTACTTGTTGTATACCATCGAATCAGATTCCGACTGGCACAGGAGGAGACTCTTCCTCCTTCTCCAGCTGAGCATCTTTGGATTTGAACCGTGAGCTTTTGGGACTGCAGTGAAGCTTCTTGCCACTAGGCCACCAGAGTTCCCTACAAGTGGGTGGTTTTAATCACGGATGGCAAAATGTCAGGATTAGGTAGTCGAAACACACAAGTTTCTTACATTATTATTTATATCTATATTTGAAACATTACAAACTTTAAAAATTACAAAATTAGGAAAAAGAGACTTTCTATTCAGGAACATAAAGTGTTCTACACTGGTTACTCAGTTTCTTAAAACCCTGCAAAAAACCACATTTGTCAAAATATATGCCATCAGTTTAAAATGATGCATCATTTAACTAGAAATCCAGGTTATAAACAAAAATCTGGGAGGAAGGTATCAAGGGAGAGGTATGGACTTTAGAACCCAAAATGCAGTTTAAGTCTAACAAGGAAGCATGTCCTGGTGAGCAGTGGCTCAGGTCTGACAAAACCCAGGAGAAGAAACCAGGTCTCAAGACCTTCCTCTAATTTTTCTCATTTGTTTGGTCTAACTGTTCAAACCAAAAGACAGGAAAACTTCAAAAGTAAAGGAACAAAGAGAAGACATTAAACTCAAGATAATGCAAGTTTAAATGTTTTCTAACAAGTGCACTAATCTCTCATGTACAGTGTATCAGTATTTAAAACATCATAATTTAAATTTTAAACATCCAAGAGAATTAATCTTAGTTTGTAAGTATCGGTAAATTATTAGGAAAATCTATTTTTAAATTAGGTTTATTACACATGCTTAATAAACTTGGGGAGTTCTGGTGGTGTAGGCAGTCTGTAGGGAGCTGTGCTGCTAATCTAGAAGCTGTACCTCTGGGGGGGGGGGTTGAGTTCACCAGTGGCAGCCTGTGAGAAAGATGGACAGTCTCCTCCACAGGGACTTAGAGCTTTAGACACAAAACAGAGGGTGTCACAACAAGTCAGCACCAACTCGGCTCAGAGTCTTGAGATTTTTAAAAACAAACAAGAATTAAAGGGTGAAAAGTGTGGGCGTGTCTTTTCTCACATAAAAGTGCCTTGGGTATTAACTAAACCAAAGGGAAGAAGAATAATGAAAAGATTGTACTGGAGATCACTTTTGGAGGTAAACAGTCCCACAGGTTTCTAGCTTTGACAAATGGATAGAAACGTGCTGTTTACGAAGATTGGGAAGATAAGTGAGTTTTAAGTCAAAGATGAAGCATTGCTTTGTCTGCAAGGTATTAACTGGAAATAGTAAGAAAGCTGAAAATTTGACTCTAGTTTAAAAAAAGGGGTTTGAGGGAGCTCTGGTGACCTAGTGGCAAAGAAGCTGCACTGCAATCCTAAAGGTGTGTGGTTCAAATCCACCAGATGCTCTGCGGGAGAAGGGGCAATCTCCTCTTGTTCCAGGCAGTTCTGATTTGATGGTACACAACAAGGAGGAGAAAAAAAGGAAAAGAGGGGTATGAATAGGAGTCAGAAGACTGCAAGTAGGTAGTGGCTGAAGTTGCAAAGATCAAGAAGCAGAGTAGTCAGGTGGTTGTTGACTCACAACACAGGATGATCTGCACTCATGATCCATAAACGGCCCTAAGAATATCTACTGCTTGCTTTTTTTTTTTTAAAAAAAACCATCTTGGCATTAGTAATATGTAGGACAGTGTGGCAGCATGTAACTTGTTTGTGTTATCATTCTCAGGTATTACTTGTACAGTTACCAACCCCCAAAGACAAAGATCAAATTGATAAAAGCATTTAATAAGGCAGTAATAATGAAAGTAAAAACAAAACTGGGATCCAACTTACATATTAGAACCGACATTAGTTATAGGAATGGGACCCACTGTAAGCTACCTGTACAGAATTAAGAGTAGGTAACTGCCCAGAGTCCTAGGCAGATGGAGTGCACTGGACGGAGGCAGAGTCACAACCTCATAGTACCGAATCTGTCTGTTCTGTACAGCAAAACAGGTCAACAGTAGGAAAGCCTTTGCTATGTTGTCATCCTCACTTTAAAATGGTTTTTCTTACTATCTCTGTTCAACTGCTCTTTCATTTGACAGAGGTATATGGCAATCAATGGTCACTTATGATCTGCTTTTTCTTTTTTTTCAATCTGCTTTTCTTAAGCACTACTCATGGAAAATTCCTGGCTACCGGTGACAGTTAATTCAGAAAGTTCGAGATTAGCTTGTGTTGTCCTACTAAGATAAATACATACATGTATACACACACATCTACACAGCACTGATCCTTGGTCAAGGCATGAACCATACGGACTATGGATCTGCAAAGTATGCTGGGGGCAAAACCAAACTCAGCTGAGATACACTTTGGGCTTCTGGTTCCTTCCGTCCACACATTGGTGGTTCCTGATTCGAGAGCAGTCCTGTCAAAGCCTTTACTGAGGGAGGAAAGTGGAGCTTACCCTTGTCCCCCTTCACCCCTGGCTGTGAGGCAGCTGATGGCTAGGATGTATCCTTACTTTGATGTGTTACCTGCAGTCAACTGTAGATTGGTAAGCCCCGCCACCTGGGGCACCATGAGTCTTCTTCAGCACCACTGGACCGTTTAACTGCCACTAAAAATTCTGTTAGTGCACCTGCTAAAAGATTCCAGGGTGGAACACTGGACTGCTCGGCATGATGGGAAAGCCACAGGTATACAGGCCCTCACCCCTCTGTCATAAAACCTTTGATTCTCAGGGAGCTCTGGTGGCCTAGTGGCAAGAAGCTGCACTGCAATCCCAGAGTTGCATGGTTCGAATCCACCAGATGTTCTGCTGGAGAAGGAGGGACAATCTCCTACTGCACCAGTCAGATCCGATTTGATGGTACACACATAAAAAATTAAATAAAATTAAAAACAAAAAAAAACCAAAAACCAAACAACCCTTTGAGTCTCAGTTTCCTCATTTAAAAAAGACCACCACAAACAACATGCATTAATAATACCTACATGTCAGGGCCCCTGTGGGGACTGCCTGGGATAATGGTTGCTTGAATAAGTATTTGACATATCAAATACACTTAATAAAAGTAATAATAAATCGATATATATTAATGCTACTTTAAAAACACAAATAGAAACAGGAACTTCAAAGTCTAAATCTTCATAAAAGACAGTATTAGAAACACAGAGATGGATGCGATCCTGTCTGTAGTCATCTTTCAAACTTAAAACAAGTGCTTGCTTCGACAGCGTATATATTAAAATTGGAACAATATGGAGATTAGCAGAGCCTATGCATAAGGACATAACAACAACAACATGCATAAGGATGACACGCAAATTCATAAAGCATTCCACTTTTTTAATTATTATTATTAGTGTGTGAGAGTGTGTGTACACACACACCATCAAATCAGATCTGACTGGTACAGGAGGAGATTGTCCCTCCTTCCCCGGCAGAACATCTGGTGGATTTGAACCGTGCGCCTCTGGGATTGCAGTGCAGCTTCTTGCCACTAGACCACCAGAGCTCCCCCACATATATTTTTTTTAAAAAAACCTTTAATACTAAAAAATATTCCATGAGGTCTTCTTAAAACCTAACAAGAGGTTATAAAAAAAGAGTAGTGAAAAATGCTTGCCTTGATTTTCAACTATTTATCTGGGATCAAAGTGACAACAGAAATCAGAAGAGCAAATGGGGAGCAGGTGCATTTACGTTCATAAGGGATAAAAAACTCAGGAGGGTTAAGAATGGATGCCCAACTGGAGGAATGGAATCAGTCTCCCAGAACTACACGTGCTGAAATGGCTGAACTGACACCAGCAGCGCATATGGTACCAATCGGCAGTGTATGTAATATCACTGACAAAATTTTTCAAAAACCCCTGCAGTGACCAAGGAGAAATAGTAAACAGGCAACCTCAGAAAGAAATACCTGGAGAGGGGCTGTCTGGCCAGAAACAGAACTTCTCGTGGGCAGTACACAAGGCTTGCTTCAGCTCAGCACATCGTTCCTTATCTGAAACCACACAGGCAGCAACACTTGAAAACACATCATTAGGAGCAAAATCCAATGCAGAGGCCAAGAGCCATTAACAGATATAATGAAGCATAGAAAACAGAACAAGATATGAAAATGTCAGCAACTATATCATTGTCCTATTTCCCATAAATCCAGTTCTAAATTGTGAGTTCTAAGATCAGTAAGGAAGAAAGCACATATCTTATAAGGTAAAGAAATTTAAAATGTGAGTCTTCGTTATAGTACTCTAAAAGTGGAAGGTTTTTTTTCTTTTTAGTTTTTGCTTTGCTCCCTTACAAGTCTGTTAAAGGCACTGACTGGAAATTCCTTTCCCCTTCTTTTCTTCCTTATCATAAATGTAGCTGCTTTCCAGCACTTTCCTTTTACAGAGGGGCCCCCATAAAAGAGTCTGTGGTTGTGGTGGTTAGAGGGACTGGCGTTAGTCTCAGCAATCCGTGCTAGTGGCTCCTCTGTGCAGCACTCCTGCGATTTGTAGCTTGCTGACACTTGGGTCTAATCCTATTTTCTCCCTGCATTAGTGATTCTGAAAGGCACTATTTTGTTCTTTTGGAGGAAAATTAACCTGGCAAATGTGCAGATAAGTCCCTGGCCACCTAAGGTGGCCTGAGAGGTAACATGAGTTCCAGGTCAACAGTCGGACCCAGGGACATGCTGGAGGTCTGAATACTGAGCTGGCTCTCATCCCTTCTTGTAATCAGGTAACTAAGGCTCATCATTAAGTGTCCCATCCCTGTCATCCCAGGCTCATAATGTGCCTGCGACACTGTATGTGTGTGTCTGTCTAAAAGCCAAGTTTTTAAATATGAATACACTGCTGTTAATTACCTTGAATACCAAAGGTACATTCTAGTTCGGTTTTTAAAAAATAATGGCTAAAGCTATTTATGAGAACAATCACCAATTAGCCTCGTACACATTTTTTTATCAAACAGAAGTGCCTGTTTTTCTCAGTAGTGTAAACAAAACCCATCAGCACAATCTTTGAATACGGAGAAAAGTGTAACTTGTACTTGATACTTACATCTGTCAAAGTCAAATGTCAGCTGTAAACTGGCACAGAGAAAAGCCTGGCAGCTGGAGCACTTGAGCATGTCACATTCAACTGTGACCCAGCCATACTTTGCACAGACAAGTGGAGACAGCTCCAAGGGCTTCCCGGCCCACTTTAGGGAGTATGTACGTTAAGAAAGACAATGTTGTCAGGCCATTACATTACAATGAGTAAATCAGAAATGAAAACTTGAACTCGTTCTTTGTGTATGAAGGAGTGAATAAACCAGGAGAAAAGCAGTAACAAAGCTGAAAAAAGATTTTTAAAGCATAGGCATATACTTTATAAACACTGGTCATTTACTTTACACAGAAAGTGTTAACATCTTTTTCTTGAAGCAGTTCTATGCATTTTATGTTTAAAATGCATATTTAATATGGATTATAGGACAGATTACAGAAACTATTCACTTTTACTTACTGTGAGTACTAGAAATTTAAAAAGCACCAGTGAAAGTACTGGGATATGTCTAAAGAAATAGTAGGTGATGAAGGTCAAAGTAAAACTATTTCTACACTCATCCATATTCTTCTGTTGCCACATGTCATTTTACCTTCCATGACTATAATTCTCAGAGGTCATCTACCAATTTGACCTTTCAAAAAAATAAAGTCATTAAATAAAATACTTCATTATTCTCCATCAGTTCAATAGTCAGATACTAATGTGTGCACAAGGGAGCTCTGGTGGCCTAGTGCTAAGAAACTGTGCTGCAATTCCCAAGGCACGTAGTTCAAAGCCAGCAGCTGCTCTGCATGAGGAGGATGGGCAATCTCCACCCGTGCAATCAACCACCTCTGAAAACCTGCTGGAGGGTCGGCGATGAGAACGTTCTAACTTGACTGCACACTAAACATGTGCACAAGGATATGTTTTAAAGACTCAGTCTGTCGTTAACGTGTGTGAAAAAGCATCTGAAAACGTTCATTGATCCATCATAGTCAACATTTAACTTTCTATAGTTTACCCAAAGACAGGTTTTTAAATTTATTTTATTTTATTATTTTTTGTGTGTGTACCATCAAACCAGATCTGACTAGTACAGGAGGAGATTGTCCCTCCTTCTCCAGCAGAGCATCTGGTGGATTTGAACCGCTCGCCTCTGGGATTGCAGTGCAGAAAATTTTTTTATTAATATTTTTATCATTCATGTTCACTGACCCAAAGACATGTATTATAGAACAAAGAGGGCAAGGAAAGAGGGTAAAATATAAAAGATGTAAAAAATTCATTATAAGGGAAGTGGGAATTTTAAAAACATTCCAGTACAACAGGAGAAAGTTTGAAGGCTAGAAAACAGGACTCTTAACAGAGGTAGGACTATTTAGAATGGAAGCAACAGTCATTTAAAAAACTGAAGGTAAAGAAATTATTATATTGAAAATAGCAATCAAATTATACCCAATCAGAACAAAAGGAAATGGATCTAAAAAATCATCAAAATCAGGAATCAATCTAGGGAGCAATAGTGAAAAGGTGGTTAAAATATCTTCCCTTTCCTCTTTAGATCCACAGGCGTTTAGGTGCTGAGCAAGGAAGATAAATGAGCTATGAGGATGGGGAAAGCGGTTTGGTGCAGGCTGCCAGGAACAGAAGGGGGGTGAAAAGAGAAGCTTCATGGGGCTGCCCTACACGGAGCACTGGAGCCTGAGCAGGGCGAAAGAAGGCAGAGATGGGAGCTAACTACACAGAGGATGATGGCTCAGAGCAGAAAACATGCATTAGAAGTGTCAGTGCGAACTCACTGTTGTGGGGTTTTTTAAACTTTGGCATTGTTTTGTGGAAAAAGTTTATTTAAGATAATGTAACAGAGGCATGGCTGGCAAAAGGTAAGGGATGGATCATGTGAAAGAGTTAAGGAGAAAAGGGGAAGAAACACTCTTGGGAAGTTAAGGACGGAAAAAAGAGCTCATTGTTTTTTCTTTTTAGAGCACATTGTTCTTAACTGAATTGCGTCACCTCAAAGTATGTCTCAATGTGGCCAGTCCATGATTCCCAGTACTGTGATTATCCTCCACTTGGTGACATGTTGTAAATGCCAACCTCTGTCTGTGGTCAATGAGGTTGAGGCTACATTAAAGAGGACTGCTACTGCTGTTAGGTGCCACAGAGTTTACAACTCACAGTAGTCCTATGAACACCAGATCTGAACCCTGCCCTATCCTGCACCATCCTCCCAACCTCTGATATACTCAAAGCCCCTGTTAGCAGTCAATCCATCTTGTTGAGGGTCTTTCTCTGACCCTCCAATTTTCCAGCATGAGTCTTTTTCCAAGGACAGACCCCTACTGACAACATACGCACAGCATGTGAGAAGTTTCATCATCCTTGTTACCAAACAGCACTTGGGTTGTACTTCCTCCAAGACAAACTTGTTCTTTTGGCAATCCATGGGTCAGAGGATTGTTTGTTATGTTCTTTATTTATTCCTTCCCTAATCCAGAAATCAATGAGAAGAACTCTATGATACTTCTGCCAAAAAGCAAAGCACCAGTCTTATCAGGCTTGGTGGGATATGAGGGGAATTCCCTTAAGGTGTGGCCTTCATCAGCTTTTCTTTTACAACAGTGAAAAGGAAAGCAAAGTGAGCAGAGAAAGGTATCACAGTGAAGCTAGATAGAAGCACAGCATAACCTTTGGCCCCAGAGGCCCTTAGCTGAGCGTGATACCAAGATGCATGGTGATCTCGTAGGTCGACCAGACCAGACGTATAGACACTGAAAGGAAACCAAGATCTTCCTCCAGAGATGAGAGCAAACTTTCCCTAGAGCTGGCATCCTGAATCAATCTGTAGGAAGTGGCACCACAGGGCAACACGTCAAGTTAACTCAAAGGCTACATACATATCTGCAGCAGTTTGACTCTACAGTGGCTTCAAGGGAGAAAAACAGGTAGTCTCTTCTTAAGATTTACAGCCCTGGAAAGTCAATGGAGGGATGAAGTCAGAACTGACTTGGTAACAATTGAGTTTTGAGAAACGGAAAATAATTCCCATTGGTTAAAGCCACCTAGTTGTGGTTAACTCTGTTTAAACGGCTCTAGATGACTAACATAATTATACAAAGAAATTCAGCTGTAAATGTAAGCATACTGAGTATTATTAGAAAGCATTTGTGTATAAAGAAGCTCGGCTGCATTAATTGAAAGGTCGATAATCTGAATCTGTCAGCTGCTCCGTAGCAGAAAGATGGTTAAGTCTCTTCCAATAAGAACTTAGACAATCAGAATGATAATCATCAATAAAGGGATAAAATGAAATTTTGCACCACCCTCCAATAGTCAATGAGAACTGTGATACTCCTACCAAAAATGAACAGCCAAAAATGGATCAGGAGGAAACATAAGACAAACCCAAACTAAGGCTACAAAGTAACTGGCTGTGTCAAACACATATTTCTTGACACAGGGGAAACTAAGTAACTTTTTCAGATTAAAGGACACTGAAGCAGCATTTCAAATAAATGAAATATCTAATTTTCAACCGGATTCTTCTGCTAAAAAGAATATAAATGACTAAAGTCTAAAGTCTAAGAGCTGTAGTGAGGTGCAACCAAGTCAACTATGACCCACAGTGTCCTTCTGAACAATAGATCGGAACCTCGCCCTATAAGACACTATCCCTACCATCTTTGATATAATTGAACCTACTGTTTCAATTAAGGTTTCAATCTATCTTGCTAAAGGTCTTTGCTCCACCCTTCCCAGCATGATGTCTTTTTCTAAAGACTGATCCCTTCCAAAGAGTCCAGGTTTCCAAGAACAATTTGTCAAAAGTATGGGAGCAGCAGTTTCATTAGCTTTGCTTCTAAGAACAACTTGGTTTCACTTCTTCGAGGGCAGAAATGTTTGCTCATTCAGCAGTCCATGGAATATTCATTCCTCTTCTCCAACAGCACAACTCACAGTCATCAATTCTTCTTGCATCTTTATTCACTGTCCAACTTTCAGATGCATAGGAAGTAACGGAAAAGACCATGGCTTGGATCAGGTGCACCTTATCTTTAAATGGACATACTTACTCTTTAGAATTTTGGAGAGGTCCTTGACAGAGTTTCCCAGTGCAACTTTTTTTTTTAATTCCTGACTGCTGTTATCATAGATTTTGACTGTGGATCCAAGTAAAATTCTATCATCTATAACTTCAATCTTTTCTCTTCATCTACCGTGAAGTTGCCTATTGGTCCAGTGGTGAGGATTTCTGTTTTCTTGATGATGACATGGAATTCACAGTGAAGGCTTTGACCTGCAGCAGGTGTTTCTGAGTTTTAGATGGTAGCAAATGATCAATGTTAACTTCTTTGGTTTGAAGCTGCATTGTAGTGACTGAGGAGAAATCCATTCTTGCAGAAAGTGCTTACTCAAGTAGCTGGGAGTAACAAGGTGTCCGTCTGACAAAGTACTCTGAAACAGCTCAGAAAAAAAGGTCTTTGTAACTGCTTTGCAACCTTCTAATTACCTTTAAAAAACAATTTAATTTTTTTTTAATTTTTATTATTTGTGTGTGTGTACCGTCAAATCAGACCTGACTGGTACAGGAGATTGTTCCTCCTTCTTCAGCAGAGCATCTGGTGGATTTGAACTGCACACATCTGGGATTGCAGTGCAGCTTCTTGCCACTAGGCCACCAGAGCTCGCCTAAAAAACAATTTTTTAAAAAATTTAAGAAAGCCAGCCTTTGCTAACGTAAAGCATGGGATGGTCCTTCTAAAACTGCTCCCAGTGGTCCTGCCCAAGTGGTACCCGCTTGATTTGGGACGGGATATTAAGGCAAAAGAGATGGATGCTTTTGAGATTAGGTTACAGATCAGGTTTTTTTTTTATTATTATTTTGTGTGAGTGTACCGTCAAATCAGATCTGACTGGTACAGGAGGAGATTGTCCCTCCTTCCCCGGCAGAGCATCTGGTGGATTCGAAGCGTGCACCTCTGGGATTGTAGTTGCAACTCCTTACCACTAGGCCACCAGAGCTCCCCTTACAGATTAGGTTTTGACTTGTTCTGATGAAGCCAGCTGTGATGTTTTAAACTGTCTCTATGAAGAACAGAAATAGCAAAGAACTTAGGGGAGGTCTCCAGCCAATGAATGAATGAATGAATGAAAAATTGAAATTCCAGTTCCAATATTCATGAGAAAATGAATCCTGCCAACAATCACCTGAGCAAGCTTGAAAGTGGATCCCTCCTAGGTGAATCTTGGAAATGACTGCAGTGCCAGCTGACACTTTTTTTTTCAGCTGACACTTTTGATTGCAACTTGTGAGAGTCCCTGAGCCTGACGACTTGGCTAAGCTAAGCCCAAATTCATAACCACAGAAATTGTGAGAAAATAAATGTGTGCTGTTTTAAGCTCCTTTGTTTTAGGGATTTTGTTGGTGTTTAAATTCAGCAATAGATAACCAATACATAAAAGAAAATCTAGAGAGAGAAAGGCAACATAGTACAGTTTAAAAAAAAAAAGGAATAGCTTATCAAGTTTGGGTGTCAAGAGTCCTAAAACATAATTCTGGCTCTGCTATTTGCTATTACGTGGATCCGGAGGGCAAGTCGTACAACCCACTTGAAATTGATGCCTCCACTGAAAAAAAACAGACAATAAAGAAGCCTTGATAAAGCTCCAAGACTATACTCTTTAGTCTGGATTACATCTCAACGTAAAGCAAACAAAAATTCTCATCATTGGTCCAATAATCAACATCACGATAGACAAGAAAACAGAAACTGACAATGATTTGATTTTACCTGAATTCACAATCAACATGAGGGAAAGTCAAGAAATTAAACAATATACTGCACGGGGCAAATGTGCTGCTCACTAGCTAGGATGTCACTTTAAAGTACCTTACCTAAGCCATGATATTTAGAACTGCTTCACACGTATGCCAAAGATAAATAATGAATAAGGGAGATGGAAGAAATGAAGCCTTTGAATTGCAGTGGGGGTGAACAATACCAAATATACCATCGACTGTCAAAATAAACAATAAATCTGTCTTGGAAGAACTGTAGCCAGAGGGTTTCTTAGAAGTAACAGTGAGATATTTTTGTCTCACATACTCTGGGAATGTTGTCTGGAGGGGCAAGTCCCTGGAGAAGGACATTACTGTGGGAAAAGAGAAGTTGTAGTGAAAAAGAGAGAAAGAATTTAAACAAGATGGACTGACACGGTGACTGCAAGCAGCTTAAGCACAGCAGAGATTGTGAAGAGTGTGCAGGACGGAGCAGGATTTTGCTCTATTTTATACTCAGTCACTATAAGTAGGAACTAATCTGTTGGCCTTTAACAACAGACTTAAGGATGAAGATCAAATGTCTTAACAAATGAAAATGTACTATATGCAAAGTTAGTTGTGATTTATTCTCCTCTCAAGCTCTCAGTTTTCTTTTTGTATAAAGCAAAGGTATCCAATGTCTCTTTGAATGATTAACATTTTATGAAGCTAATTTGCTCATACATTTTTGTATGGACTGCCAAGAAAACAAACAGATCCATCCTAGAGAAGGTTAAACCAGGCTACTCCTTGGAGGCAAGGATTCTGGGGCTTCGCCTGACATAATTTGGACATGTTGTAAGGAGAGACAGGTCTTT